CAGTGCTGATGGTGGCACTGGGAATCAAGACCAAGCAGAGGAGCAGGATGGTAACACATCTAGTGTGGCATTAGGAGATGCATCTGATGGATCAGCCAGTGCTGATGGTGGCATTGGGAATCAAGACCAAGCAGAGGAGCAGGATGGTAACACATCTAGTGTGGCATTAGGAGATGCATCTGATGGATCAGGCAGTGCTGATGGTGGCACTGGGAATCAAGACCAAGGAGAGGAGCAGGATGGTAGCACATCTAGTGTGGCATTAGGAGATGCATCTGATGGATCAGGCAGTGCTGATGGCAAAGATGCCAAACAGAGTGAGGATGCCAAAGAGGGAAACAATTCCAAAGAGGGCAAAGATGCCAAAGAGGGAAACGATTCCAAAGAGGGCAAAGATGCCAAAGAGGGAAACAATTCCAAAGAGGGCAAAGATGCCAATGAGGGCAAAGATGCCAACGAGGGCAAAGAGGGCAAAGATGCCAAAGAGGGCAAAGAGGGCAAAGATGCCAAAGACAGCAAAGATGCCAAAGACAGCAAAGATGCCAAAGAGACTAAGCAGGACAAAGAGAGCAAAGATGCCAAAGACAGCAAAGGTGCCAAACAGGGCAAAGATGCCAAAGAGGGCAAGGATGTCAAAGAGACTAAGCAGGACAAAGAGAGCAAAGATGCCAAAGACAGCAGAGGTGCCAAAGAGGGCAAAAATGCCAAAGAGACTAAGCAGGACAAAGAGAGCAAAGATGCCAAAGACAGCAAAGGTGCCAAAGAGAGCAAAGATGCCAAAGAGACTAAGCAGGACAAAGAGAGCAAAGATGCCAAAGCTAGCAAAGGTGCCAAACAGGGCAAAGATGCCAAAGAGACTAAGCAGGACAAAGAGAGCAAAGATGCCAAAGACAGCAAAGGTGCCAAGGAGGGCAAAGATGCCAAAGACGTCAAAGATGCCAAAGATGTCAAAGAGAGCAAAGATGTCAAACAGCACAAAGAAAGGTTAGTGTTGAATTGTTGTAATTTTTACTGTCTTGTTTAATATGTGATAAATAAAAGAAAATAAATATCTTTATTTAAGTGTCTAGTCATTCTAGCACTTTCGCACTAATTGGGAACACTTTTCACTCACACACACTACCACTCTATTTAATGTTCTATGCACACAACACTCAACTCACTATTTTTATGGAGGGAGGAAATCGGAGAACCTGGCCGAGAAAGCCCTCGTAGCATAGGAGAGAACAACACATCAAACAAACTCTATTCACATGTGGCGACTGCAGGGCTCGAACCAGCGACCTGACCTGTTGGACTAACAGCGGTGAAAGACAAAACGTTAGCTGCGAATGACACCCATGCTATCCATAACCAGTGGCGGATCCAGGGTTTTTCAAAACGGGGTCCAGATCGGGGAATAGATTGCTATGACGTCATATTGACGTCATATGGTGTCAAAGTATTAATTGTTTCGTTGCTTTTACCTACTATATAAGCGCTGTTAGTTTGAATAAAAATTATAAAATTTGTCTT